GTCCTGGAACTCACTCTGTAGACCAGGCTGGCCTCGAACTCACAGAGATCCACCCGCCTCTGCCTCCCGAGTGCAGGGATTAAAGGCGTGCGCCACCAACGCCTGGCTCCTTTTTACTTTCATAACACACACACACACACACACACACACACACACACACACACACACACACGCACACACATTTGAATATTAGAGAAAATGTGATATTTGGATTTCTGAGTGTGGTTTATTTCTAATTCCATCCATTTTCTCTCATATGTCAGGCTTTCAGTTTTCTTCATGACAAAACAAAGATTCTATTGTGTATAAGTATCACATTTTCTTTCTACATTCATCTTTTGATAAACAGCTAGGCTGGTTCTAAAAACTATATACAAAATACTTTACTCTTAAGGTTCTTTTATACAAGGTGAATTAGTCTAGCCAAAATAAAACAAAACAAAACAACAACAAAACCCAAAAGCTTAGTAACTTGGCTAAAGATAGTGCAGATTTAAGATTTAAAAAAATGAGTCTTCAAAATCCATACTCTTAATCATTGTAATATATCATAGGTGCTGTGTTATTTTATGAGGGAAGCCAAGTCAGTATTTACATTGAATTCATTTTGCTAAATGTTCAGTAAAGCAAAGGGCATAATATCACTTGGGTAACTAAGTTGCTTGATTTGTGATTTGACTCTAGTCTCTTCATTAAGAATCTCTTTTGATCAAGTTTCTTTGTATCCATCAAAGCTCTCTGTGTTGCAGAATAAGTTCAGCAGGCACATGACACTCTTGTCTCTGATTTTTTGTTTGTTTTTTGTTGCTTTACATTAAATAGGGAGTGTATTTTCTTTGGTGCAAGATGTGAATGAAAGTTAAGTGGTTAAAAATAATTAGGGGAAATAAATAAGATTTTAAATAGTTTTGGAGTCAATCCTCCAAAACCATTTTAGAGCTTTGAAAAGTATAAAGGTAATAATAATTTGTTCTCAAAAGAAGGATCATATAGGTGTAAAAGGTACATATCAGCAGAATCAAAAGTTCAAGAATATTATGAGGGTTCATGGTATCCAATATTAGAGTTGGACAGGATTAAGTTTTAATCTTGGCTCTAGGATTTATTTATTACCTTGGGGGTTAATGTATCATACCAAACTTTGAAAATCATCCATTGTGGTATGTTGTGATTATTAAATAAAATAAAATGTAAAAGTGTTAAGCATGGTTCATGACACAAAATGCAGAAGCAACTTGTGTCCACTAAAGTATACATAAAACATAGTATGTAGATTTTGGTGTCATCCAGCCTTTAAAAAGGAAGGAATTTTGATTTATGCTACCACCCAGGTAAACCCAAGGATCCCATGCTAAGAAAATTAGCCAGTCACAAAATAACAGGCTTGTAAGAAATATGTAGTTGAAAGCAGAAAAGTGAATGGTGATTACCAGGGATACCATGAGAGATGAGTGGAGAGATTGCCTATAGGGACTAGTTTTTGTTTTGAAAGATAACATTTGCACAACTATATGAACAGACATAATACTGAACTGTTTAATTAAGATGACTGGAATAGTAATTTTATGTGTATTATTCTACAACAAAGAGCAGAGTTAGTATTAAAGTAACAATTTTTATCCATCTGACAAAAATCAATTATCACATGCATATATTTATCCTTCATCGTTTGGTTTGTGATTCTCATGGCTCATTTGAGGATTAATTACATAAAGCTGTAGAAATTTCAAGGCAAGAAGACAGGTAGGAGCATTTGTTTCATCCAGTGTCATCTAGACACACTAGACAATTTAACTTGAACCCAGCAGGATGGAATGTTCATGCAAGGCCATGTATTAGAGGTCAGGGAAAAGTGAATTCATGACATTTCTTGTGAGCTTTTAGTCTAAACCAAAAATTTATTTGAGCTTAGGTCATTCTACCAAACATAGAAATGTAGTGATTTGATACCTTTTATTTGGAAGCTTAATGGATGTCCGCCTTTATACACACCTTCAGTTAACCTAAAATTCTATGATTGAGATTAAGACTGTATTTTTTAAGAATAAGTGTGTGCGTGTGTGTGTGTGTGTGTGTGTGTGTTCATATGCAGGTGCCTACAGAGGCCAGAAAGCTGCCTCAGATCCCCTGGAACTGGATTTGTATGCTGCTGTGATGGGGGAGCTAGGGGTGATGAGAACAGAATTCCAGTCCTTTGTGAGAACAGCAAGTTCTCTTAATGACCAAGTTCATCTTTCCAGCTGTTTCTCTATTAAAAGTGTTTAGTTTCTTCTGTTACTGTGTATTTAAAACTGGTTGATACTTGTTTCCTAAATGACACTTTTACTTTAATGAAATGCTAAGTTCAGTAAATCAAGACTTACTTCTCTTTTGAGTCTTGTTTCTTTTTATTTTATTTTTGATGACACACAATCAAATGCACACATTCATAGCATGGGGCATGATGTTTTGATATGTGTAGTGCTTGAAACTCAGGTAATTAGCATGCACACTATCTTAAACATTTGTCATTTCTCTGCGGTAAGAAAATTACTAATCTTGTCCTTCTAAAAGATGTGGGATACATATTGTTAACTATGGTCACCCTACTGGCAGTAGAACATCAGGAACTGTTCTGTGTCTTTGTACCCACTTTGTAACATCTGCTCATCTCCCCTCCCCTTGTCCCCCAGTCTCTTGTGACCCCTCTTCTCCTCTCCTCTCTATGTGACCCATATTTTTAGGTTCCACACATTAGTGAGAACTTGCAGTATTTGCCCTCTCCCTTTTAACATCCGGGTTTTTTGAAATCCAAACACGGGAGAATATAGGAGTCTTTTTCAAAGCAGAAACAAGGTCTTTAGAATGCCCCGTCCATAAAAGGAAGCAGCAATCAAGATCAGGCTGGCGAAACCCACAGAGGCAGCTGACCTAAACAAGGGGGAACACATGGACCCTAGACTGATGACTGAGGGGCCAGCAAGGAACTGATCCAGACATCCTTCCCAGCGAAACTGGGTGACAGAGAGGAGGCCTTGGCAATCGGTGGGACCTTGGAGAGTAGAACAGTATTTATTCCTGGCATACAGAGGGACTCTGGGAACCCATACCACGTGGAGGGATGCTCTCTCAGCCTGGATACATGGGGAAGAACCTGGGACCTTCCTGGGATGATGTGACAGACTCTGAAAATCCCTCATGGAAGTCCTTGCTCTCTCTGGGGAGTGGAAGGGGGATGGAGTGGGGATGAGGCATTGGGAGGATTGGGGGTGGGAGAGGAGGGGAGGGAGAGGGAACTGAGAGTGACATATGTAAAAAGTTAAATAAAAAATATGAAAAAAATAACAACAACAAAAAAGGAAGCAGCAAGATGTAGGAGTGTGAACAGATTCCTTCCCAGGGGCCTGGTCAAGATCTAATACTAGAAGAAGCACATTTTTGCTTTTCCTGTTTCTTGTTCTTGTGGGAGATTAACAGATACACATTTGCTACCTCATTGTGTGGGGCCATCCTTGAATCTCAGAGTAATCTAGAGAGACAAGTGGGATCGCCAAGGCTCTGTCACTTACCTGAAGCAAAGGGGATGAGGCCTCAAGTCAATACTTGATAAATGGATGATTGGCAGGGAAAACTTAGCTCGTCCTCCTGCCTCTGCATGCCAATGCCCTTGTGGTGCCTTTCATGCCCACCTGTAAGCTCTAGGAAATGAAAAAGCAATGGAGAGAGAATCATTAAAGTGCTTAAAACAAACTTAAAAGAGTGACCAACACACTGTTTACATTGTGAGAAAAGAAGATACCTTGTCCGAGAATCATAGTAAAATATGACCACATGTAATTCACTCATAATAACAAATGAAAAGTCTGATTGTTTTATTAATGTGAAGGGTTTGTGGAGGGCGAGTTAGGGGAGGAGAGTCTTAGAGCTGAGGGATTGGTGAGTGTTGTAAGAAGCTTTGCAGGGAATTATGAGGTAGAGATTCGCTCATGTGTGTGGGCGAGAGAGGCCATCTTGGTGAATACAGAATGAATACCATTGGAGGAGTGACCCGCTGAAAATGAGGCAGGAACAACTGGGATTTGAGAAGAGTAGATGGGACTGGTCTAAATACACAGTGCAGAACTGGGTTCTCTCCTGCTATGGTAACTCTATTAAAACTGGACGGCACAGACGAGCAGAAGAGCATTGACAAGACCAGCCCTAGATTTAGGAGATTGGTGATTAGATGATCTCTACAAAACGTCACCAAAACAAAGCATTGCGTTTTCGTCTGGGACAAGAAGTGTTTATCCTATGTCTGTTCACAAGAGTAGACGGCTCAAGAAAAGGGGCCCTGATTTAATCAGAGGTCCATTGCAGCCACGACTACCAAATACATACGGAAATGAAAATAACTGGATTGCCTTGTGTATTATTAGCTTAAAATGGGGGCATTGTATATAGAAAACCTAAAAGAACACAAACAAAAATTGTGCAAGTAGGTCAGCTGCCTGCTCTCAGAAACTCTCCAGGTTAACTGTAGAAACTGAGACATTATGTATAGGCTGGATTTTATTGGATTTTTTTTCTCCAAGAATTCCAATATTGTATGATGCGATTGATGAAAACAATGGCCTTGCTCCTTGCCATTGGGATTCAAAGACAACTGCTTTGAAAAAGGCTCCCACTCACCTGGAGAATCGATTTGGAGTGGAATTTGAAAATGTGAAGAAAAACATGGTTTTTCATTTTAACTATTTCATATACCCTTTTTACACAATTTGAGATCAAAACATAAGAAAGGTTGCTCAGAAGATAATTAGTATGCAATAAATTCATATTAACTATTATGATTTACACATATATGATGGCAGACAGCTGCTTGCTCAAGATATGTGTCCTCCTCGCCTCAGAGAAACAGAAAAATTATGAGATATTTGGTCATTTTAAATGATTTGCTTTTGCTCAAGAAACCACTCGTTCATTTCTATAAATGGACAAGGAACTAGAGACAAATTTCCTTCCTATTTTGTTTCCTTCAGCGGTCATGATATACTGAAAACTACGCAAGATAAATCTGGGGAGGCCGGAAACCATAAAGTCACGAAGACCACAGTCAGGCAGAAAGGATAAAGGTAGGTAAACTTGCTGTCCTGTCGATCCTTGTATTGAGGGTGTCACAGAACATATCTTTATTGTTATAAAGATGATTGTGTTGACTGGTGGACATACAACTCAGATTAATGCACTCTGAGGAATAGTGAAACAGTATCTTAAACCATTTATGTGTATGTGCACACATTTAAGACATGTACCTGACATGTATGTTGAAAATTGAAGCCACCTTCATGACGCAATCTCCTTTTTTTTTCTTTAAGATAGGGTTTCTATGTGTTAACAGCTCTGGTTTGCCTGGAGTTCTAGCCATAGATCGGGCTGGCCTTGAACTCACAGAGGCCCGCTTGCCTCTGTATCCCAAGTGCTGGGATTAAAGGCATGCGCCGCCACCCCAACCATGTAGCAATCTTAGTGATATCTTACAAAGGTGGAATCTGCCTTGACGCCTCTCTCACCCTGACTTCTGTGTTCTGCCATCTGGAGTGAGAAATTTGCTCCTCCATCACAGTTTAGATAATGGGTGAGGAGAAAATGGCAGAGGCTTCAGCCTAGGAAGTGGTTCCGGTGTTCTCCTATTCTCAGATTCCCAAGAGAACAGAAGACTAGGGAGTAGGAACAAGCAGAAGATACTGTGTGGGGCGTGGGCTCTTTCCCTGGGTTTCTGGAGACAAAAGTGTACTTCCTTTTCACCCACTAAGACTTAGACACTGGTAATGGGTTCTATGTCTTATTGGAACGTTTTTGTTTTGATACCAACTTTTAAGCTTGTCAATGAAGAATAGCACCTTTATTCAAATTTACCTTTTAGAAGGAAATGATTTTAGTAAAATAATTTTGGGAAAAACATAGATTTCTACAGGAGCCATTCTAATCTTCATATTGGCGGAAAATAGTGAGCAAAGTTATAAATACTTACTTTGCACTTGAGGATAATTAAAACTGATACATAGGACAATTACTGGGTCAGTGTGGTGGGCTGAATGCTCAGGACTTGGAAACAGAATCCACTGAATTCTCATGACAGCTCTGGGAAAGGTGAAGGGGGTTGTTCCCTTCTGTGATGAAAGCTGGCTGACTGGCCAACTGCACAGATTTAGCCAGTGGGTGGTGAAGTTGGATAGGAGTCTAATTCCATCTGCTGTTAAACCTGTGTCCTTGACCAGCATGGGAAGCCGAAGCTAAAATACTGCCTTTAAAGGAGTGCAGCCTCTCACTGTCATCAGACATTTAGCCTCCGTGTTGAAATACACACTCTAAAGGAACATGTTCTCTCTCTGCTCAGTGAACTCTGTGACAGAAATAACACATTTTACATATTCATTTGGTAACAAAACTCTAAACTCCATGACCCTCTCAAAAAGAAATTAAAAGGAGAGCAAAAATAAAACTTGATAATATTAGCTAAAGAAGCTGGAAATCAACAGCAAAACAATACAGTGAGTGTATGTGTAGTTGGAATGTGATGGCAGTCAGAGTTGGAAATTTTATTTAAACAATTTTATAATCATAGACCAAAGAATAATGCCTATGCTTTTAATTCTCTAGCAGACTCCAAATGTTTAAGAAAATACACATGTATACCTCTTGGTAATTTAGGATACCAAAAGTTAATTGAAATACAAAAAAAATCTTCCCAAGAAATCAGAAAAACTCCAAGAGCTATCTGCATGACATGTTTGATCACCTGAAGTTCACCTCACTTCACTTTAGAAATTTTAATGGGAAAAATGGAACTATTTTAAATTCCTTACAATAATTCAAAAATTTTTAACTTATAGGAGGCACTAGTAGCTGTCCTTTTTATTTTACAAACTTGGAAACTGAGGATAAGAGAAGCCAAATAACTTGGCCAAGTTCTCACAGACCATGAGTAGCAAAACTGAATTAGTTAATACTCAGGTGGTTTAGCATGTGTCTTTAGCTTTAACTACTGTACATAGCTGTCTCTTAATAGTTGTAATTTTTGAAAAGTTATTATTATGGAAAAGATATCAAAATACACGGGTACAGTTAACTAGGGATAGAAAGAGAGCTGAATAAATCAGTCTTTTTTTCCACAGCAAGCAGACAATCTGATAGAATAATCTCACTTATGACAATCATGAATACCTATGGATAGCTGTTTAGGAAATAAATAATAGTTAAATGAAGATAGTAACAACGGAGTGAGAAACACAAAAGAAGGTGAACAGAGGACAATGTCTATGTTGCATTCCTGGATCAGAATAATAATTGGATAATAATTGTTACCTTCTCCATATTAACTTGTGAACTTAATGTAACTTAATTTGTAACCTCAAAAGAATTTGGAGGAAAGCTTGCCTTTAAAAATGGAAGAATGCAGTGGCCTGGGGAAAGCAAAATTTTGGAAAAAGAAAGGATAATTTTAAAACTTGTCATTTCTGACCTTTAAAACATGTTAAAAAGTTATACTTAAGACAATGAGCTCCTTCTTTTTCATTAAAGTAGAAACTTAAGGGTCCAGTGGTGGTTTGAATGAGAAATGTCCCCCATAGGCTCCTGTATTGGAACTCTTGCTCTCTAGATGGTTGTGCTCCTTGGAGGAAGTTATGGAATCTTCAGGAGGTGCATCCTTGCTGGAGGAAGTATATTGTTGGAGAGCCAGCTTTGAGGATTTATAGCCACAGCCCAGTTTGAGTTTGTTCTTTACTTCCTGTGTGGTTGATAGATGACCAGTCAGCTTCCTGCTCCTGCTGTCTGCCCTACCTGCTTGTTCCATGCTCTTCCTGTCACTGTGTCCTTGTGGAACTGTAAGCCCAAATAAATGTTTTTTTTTTCATAAAGTTTCTCTGGTCATGGTATTTTATCACAGCAACATAAAAGTAACTAATATAGGAGGAACTACATTGATTTGAAAAAACCTCAAAGAGCACAGCATATAACAGGAACATGTAATAGAGATACTTCATGTTGATAAAGTCTTGGTTATTCAGTGTCATAACAACAATAACTGATTAAAGTTTTGAACAATGTAAATTTTAATATAATATACACGTATTGACAAAATGTTGACTGATAAAATAAGAAAAATGATGAGATATAATTAGAGGAAAATATATTGGTGAATGCCTATGCCATATGGTATACCATGATGTTAAATGAGGAGTCCAGGGCTGAAGAGTGGTAGACGTAATCATATTAAAAGTTCCTAATATGTAAATGAAAGAGAGACACAAACAGCATTGACCCTAACAATGAATTTCTTTTTGAGAATAGAATTATTGAATCACTTAAATTCTGACATTCCAAAACTGCGATTGTGTAAAGGTTTAGTGAAGCAGTGGCCTTATGGGTAAGTTGGTTTCTACCCTCTGCAGCATAGATAATCATGGACATTGTCAAAGGATGAATAAGTGATATTGACTTATCATTATCACTATAGAAAAGTCCAAGCAACAACTTGGAAAAGCAGCAATTCTCCATCAAAAAGATCAACTAAATTTGAGCTAGAATATTCACAAGAGTGGGGGATTTTAAGTAGACGTTTTTTATAATCTGTGCTTGTCAGTGCATATCTCAGAAGTCATTTGCAACATCTTTGAATAATTCAAGTTTTGTACATGTGAAAATGTATCATCGGTAGTAAAAATGAAATCCCCGAGTTATTCAAATGCAATAGATAATAGCTGTGGAGCTGCGCAGTGATAACACTTGAAGAGAAATGTGCCCTGTCTGATTATTGTGAAGTACTGTGTACCAAAGATGGTTATTTCACCTTCTTCTAGAGTAGCTCTCCTTTTTCAAATGCTACGGTCACCATGCAAATGTGAAAGGGAAATTTATCATCATCAACACCCACTAAAGATTTTTTTTAAACAAAAAGCTTAGGGCTTAGTGCGCAAAAGCACTTGCCACACAAGCCTGAGAACTCAAGTTCATTCTCTGGAAGCCACAGTGGGAAGAGAGAAATGTCTCCTGGGAGTAGTCTTCTGACCTCTGTGCACATGCCATGGCTCATGTCCACACGAGTAAAAGGACAAATGGATAAAAGCTTTAATCTATATGAAATACAAGTGATGGCAACCTGCACTATTACAACCAATTAGCACAAAGATTTACAAAGACATGCCTTTTTACCTGAGGTCCTGTTGGCATGATTATCAGTTGGCTATGATTCTTCTCATCTTTCTGGATCCATGTCTCTGAGGAAAGGAATGGTTCTTGGCCACTGTTTTTCTCCCTGTTGCATGCTGACCCATGTCTGTTTGGCAGCTCTCTCTCACCTGAATGGACCTCTCATTTCCCTCGTTTGTGTCCCTCTTTTGTTTGCAGGCTTAAATTATGCCATGTTGTATATTCAGCCATCTCTCCTCACTTTTCTCCAGCGGTCATTGCTTCTTAGTTGAATTTGATACTTCAATTATCTTAATCTATCAACACTAGAGTGTTTCCTTTTGGTCTGACACAGATTGTTATCAAGAAAGTTTTGGTTTTAGAGTTTTCCAACAACGTTTTTATGTATCCTTACAAGGACTTTTAGGTATACACACACACACACACACACACACACACACACACACACACACACACACACACACACACACACAGAGAGAGAAAATAGCCTCAAAATAAACAAAAGAACTATACAAACTTTTCTCTCTCTAATGGGTACGTAAAATAAAAAAGAGAGAGGTACTACCACTTTGTTTGAGATGACTAACAAAATCAAAACACAAGTCTAAAGATAACAAAGTCTTGTTAATCTTCACGCTTGCCAGACTGTCACTGTTTAAAGAGTGTAAAAAACAAAACAAGTCACCATCACTACCACCAATGACAACAACAATAAAAGCTGTCAGTAACATTTTGTAGAAGGGAAAAATGGAGAACAAAACAAGATATACCATAAACAAAAGGGGATGACAGCCTCCATTTTAGTAGAATAAAATAGAAAGGATCCAGTTTATCAGGGATTCTTAGACATCAAAATAAATGTTAGTTACTATGTACAGTAAATGAAAGGTTTTTTTCTCATTCCTTCACCTAGCAAGGAGTT